GGTCAAATACTTTTAATACACACCTAAATTAATAACATCAAGTGATAGTGCGACTGTTACATTAAAAAAAAAAATCAAAAGGTTGCACCAAGTTTTTTAGGCCTTATTACATATATCACATTTATTGCAACTCTAGTTTTAGAAACTAGTACAATATGGGCAGACGAGCATCTATGGCTAAGTCTACCCAGAAGTGAAAAAATTTCTCCTCCCATGAAAATAAGCAACCGTTTTGTCGCGACGAGGTAAGTTGTCCTTGATCAGAGGGTGGCTAAGAAATTTGTTCATCCATGAAATGGTTGCAGGAAATTTTGAAGGGTCCAAAACCTGCCTGGAGCCTACTTCCTCCCAAATAGGCAGCCAGTAAGAGATCCATCCCATTGCAATGTCCAAATACCCGAGGCTTTCCCCTCCTAAAATCTTCTTTCCCATGAGGTCTCCTTCTATGTGTTCCAAGGCCTCTATAGTTGATTTCAAAGCCTTTTCTTGTTGCTCTCCAGTGGAAAATATTAAAGCTGTAAATGCACCATCCAGAACCTAACAAGAAATTAAAAGTTAGTCAATCTATGAAATCATATCACAAAAGATCTGTTTGTAAAATATTCAACAATAACATTTTTGATCATATCTCTTACTTAGTATAACATTGGTGAAAGCAAAATTAGACTTGAGTGGCCGGTAGCTCCGTGCAACATTTGAGAAACTAAAAGCTTGTACTCTTTTTTAATTTCTTTTTAGTACAAGCGATTGGAGGATGGAGGTTACACAAATATTCATTGGTTGTCTGGGGGTTTCGAACCTCTCTCCACATGGATGGAGGTGGAGGCTCAACCAACTGAATTATACCCCATTAGCAGCTTGTACTAATTTTTAACCCTTACCAGAAAAGAAAAAAGAAAAGTTATATGTATCTAAGGCTCACATTTTCCCACTCAAGTTTTCAACCCAGTAACTAGGGGTGGATGGATTTAGGGAAAAGTAGGTAAGGTGGGGGCAAAGTGTTTGTTTTTTCTCAACAAATTAACTCTCCATTGATCTCTCAAATTACTTGGCTAGGGCTATGGAAAAGTAGTTAAGGCGAGGGGCAAAGTGTTTGTTGAAATGCCTCAAAGAGGCTGGGTAACCAAACAACTGGTAGTTAGACAATGTAGACCTTCTTCTTTTACAAATTTTTTTGGGAGTTTCTTAATCTTGCTCTAAAAAAGAAAAAATCTTAGATCCGACACTACTAAAACAAAAGCCACCCACTATTAAAATACTAGCCCACCCCTTCTCGTCAACTGTAGTAATAGTAAGTAAATGCGGTAAGGAAAAATGCTATCCACAACAATCGTGCATGGCAGTATCCACATCCATCAACCGTTCAAAGTCGTTTATGTGCACGTGAGTGACTAATGCAACAAAACACGCCTTAATGCAGATGATTTTGATGCATTTACTAGATAAAATTGAAACAAATTAATTCTAGCATATGGCTCACCTTCTCTTCCGTGAAGTTAGCCCAAAAGCGTGATATGGCTCTTGCATAAGGATCTTGAGGCATCAATGGATTTTGCTTCCATGTCTCATCAATATATTCAAGAATAGTGAATGACTCAGGGACCACTTTGTTGCCATGAACCAAAACTGGAATTTTTTTGCGAACTGGATTGAGTTGCAGAAGAAGAGGGCTCTTGTTGAAGATATCTTCTTCTACATACTCATAATCAATGCCCTTCAGCTTCAGAGCCCACTCCACTCTACGGGAAAATGGACTGAAAACAAACCCCAAAAGCTTAACCTTCTCTGTTGCCATGACAATTTTCCTAGTACTTAATTAGATAATGTTTCTTTGTCTGTTGCTTGCTCTTGTCGTATTTATAGTGTTTTTCTCTCACAATGCGTTGGGAAACAGACGCCATATTTGACTGAAAGGGGTAGGCACACCAACCATTCATTCATTATCTTAAGTTGATTACTTCACTGATTTCGTCACAAGTTTCTCGCAATGAACAGAGGATTCTATCCTGAAACTTCTATTGACAAATATTTCCTATATGTTTTTTTTTTGTGATTGTTCATGGATGAAGCTTATTATGTATTCTAGTTCAATTATTTTAACAATTTAACTACCGGCATAGTTTAGTATACACGGCATTTTATATAAATAGTCTTGATGTTATTAGTAAATAAACCACTTATCATATATTGTATTTTATTTTGTGAAGTTTCCGACATGTGACTTTACATTTTTGAACACCCACTTCTGTAGTCGGTAACTAATTATTTTTACTCTAAATACATGGTTAGGGTAAGAGAAAACACACCAGCGAGACACCATGATTTCAGTGCTGGAGATAAGCAAGATAAAATTTGGTGTGAGAAGAACTTTTTGAGTGGACCATTTTATGCATGCTAAAAAGTAAAACTAAAAGCAATCAGGTCGAGATGACAGTAGGGATTTGTGCGAAGGGTTATGTTACACTGACCTGGAAAGCATACATATGTTGCCCAAAGCCCTGGATTTGATGGAGCTAAAAGAGAAAAGGCAAGTATAAGGCACCGCCTTTACCTGGTTGGAAAAGTGACTTACGAATTGGGTTAGCTGTTGGGTTTTGAAAGAAGGCATACTGGCATTTGATTAAATTTATGATAAATTATACAAATGGCGAGGGGACAATATTCTTCAAATTTCTTCTAAAGGACACCAAAGCCTTCCTCCTATATTCTTCTTGGTAAGCTTCCATTTAACAATTAACAAGAAAACAATACATCCTCCTCATCCAAGATCGAAGCAAATCATTCTAGCCCCTCCTCAATACAAACCAAACTTTGAGAGTACGAAAGAGTAAAACGAGCTAATTCGTGCGCGGTACGATTTCTAGATCTAAGATCAATACTGAAAAATTCTGAAGTGACATCAAGCATAAGAATGCCATCAATACAGACCTTTTTGTCACCCTCATCAAGATTTGGATCACACTAATTCACCTAAAATTTTACTGGGTTCTGACCAAAATGTGAATTTGAATCTGCATAGATAACTAAATGTTGTATTATTCTATAACCTTATAAGGAGAGAGAATATGTGTACTTGCTGTACTCAACTACTCATATATACTACAACTAGTTGGTGATCAGAAAAAGAAGAACTGTAGAAAATTGTCATATCATACAATTTCTACAGCCCACAACAAAACAAACACAAGGTGACATACTGGAAACCCTACCATATATAAATACAACCCAAAATAATTAAATGAGTGCTTTACAGTACAGAACTAACATATGCTAAATACACTTTGGATGGTCTTCGTCTCTCACCAAACTTAGGACCCAAGCTTGCTCCAAGCTGGGGCCTCCATGCTTTGCCGAAAGCGAAGACAACTTTGGCTAAGCAAACACCTAATAATTTAATTTTTATTACTGCTTTGCCATTGGCATCCCACAAGCTGAATCTTTCTTAATTGGCTGGCTGCTGTGACTCGAATGGCATTTCCAGCAATTTTCTCAAAAACCAAGAACATTTAGCAAACCAGAATACAAGAGTAAGGTATCAAAGCTTCTTCCTTAAGTGCCATCATCACGGCCTCATAGCCTATCATTTGCAACCAAGTCCTTGCTTAGAGAGGAAACAATGATCTCGTCACGACTCGATGCTTCTATGTCACGCCGGGTGCTGTCAAAGAAGCTTGGCTGTGCCAAGAAGGCGTGGAAGAGCTTCACCAACAAGCTACAATCAAAACTCCACAAGCTCAACATCCCCAAAGCTGTCGAAACCACCACCAGACACCTCCGTGCCTTGCGGAGCAAGTTCCATTTCCTCATCCCATCCAAACTCCGAGCTCTCACCAAAGCTTCCTCTACCTTTCCTAGAGACCAGTTTTACAACCATCACTATGAGGCCTTTGAATCCCACATGGGCTATGCACTAGGTAGATCTAGCTACCAGTACCACAACAAGGTTGTTCACAATAAGAATTCTGCAGCCATACACATAGATGAGCTCTTTGCAGAGCCTGCCGCAGTCTATGAGGACACAAAGAAGAACCAGCATTCAGGTGAGCAGGCAGAAACAAGCAAAGGGAAACAAGTGGTCGAGGATAACGGTGATGGGAAGGCTGTAGCAAGAGATAAAAAGAGTTTGTATAGCGTTGAAGAGGCATGGCAGGCAGTGGTTGCTAAGTCACCGCAGCTGCGGGTGGTGGATGAGAGGGCAGAGGAGTTCATTACCAAGTTTAGGCAAGACATGAAACTTCAGAAGGAGAAGTCCCTTCTTGAGTTCCAAGAGATGTTGGCTCGGGGTACCTAAATTGAGTATATATTGATTATGATTTATTATTAGATTTGTTAGTTTCATTTTTTTCCAATACAAAAGTTGGAAGTGATACAAGAAGCTTGAAGGTTTGTGAGTTTTTGGTTGTGGCTTTCAGGTGAAGTGATTGACGCAGTGATTCCTGCTGCAGATAGTGTGAAGATGTGTAGAAACTTTAGGTTCTTTTCCTTTTAATCTGTCTTTCTTTTTATTTTTTTGGTTTCACACATACATGGATTGCTCGTGTGGATTGGTGTATTGATCGAAAACATGAATAAAAGATTTTCGTTTGAGTATTTTAAAGAGCGCACAGGCGCACAATGAATTACTTGATTATTTCTTGGCAAGTCAATTATTGAAGGACATTAATGGTGGAATGTCTCACATTGGTTGTAAGTCCTTTATTTTTTTAATTTTACACAAGTTATGGTATAACTACTCTAATCTACGGAAAATGGATATTGAACTCGACTGTAAGGAGATGGACACACTGCTCTAACCCAAAGTCTGCACATTGATTGTAATAATATCAAAATCATTCATTAGTAATTTACTTGCTTTGGATAAAGTTCCCATGATTTTTTATTAATGATTTATTGAAGTAAATTAATGGTGAATTGTACCACAGGAAACTATTTTATTTTTAAATTATTCAATTAATTACTGCGGCTTTATGCAGCCAAATTCATTAGTGCACCACATGAGCTATTTAGAAGCAATTGGCATCACTATGAACATTGAAAGAACTCAATCCCAATTCCCAATCCCCAATATCCATGAGAAAGAGTACAGTTAATCTCTCTTTTTTTCCTTGTATGATTTCCTTGTTCTATGGATGTACACAAAACAGCAAGGTCCAAAGAGCTGAGACAACAGCAGGTTTCTGCAAATGTTTCTCCAAGCTTAACCAATAAAAATGCTACTTAAGTTATTCGAGCTTACAGTATCCAGAAGAAAGGCAAACCCAGTTGACACTTAGTGCAGAAAATCTTTCATGGGATCATCGTTATGTATCTTTTTCATCCGATATGCCTCCATCTCCTCAGGAGTAACCTACAAAATGCATTGCATGATGTAAAGACATTTATCAAAAAGGCTAAATACCAACAATCAAGCAATATATCACCAATAGAAGTATAATGAGATCTTTATACCTCATCATCCCATTTAACATTATATTTTCGCTTTCTTTCATCCTTCTCTTCCTTTCTTCTCTTATCCTCCTGCCAAAATAAAAACACATGAGCAAAACAACCAACAAAGTTCAGGAAAAATAGGGTGATGTGAAATTTGAGTCACATCAATTCTATCTTAAAATATATTGCATGACACTAAGAGAGGTAACTTGGAAATTTAAGCCACAAGATCACCTTCTTAAGAGCATCATCAAGTTTTTTCTGGTCAAGAACCAAATCTTCAGGTATATCTGTTCCCCAAGTAGCAAGCCTTTTCTCTTCTGTTGGAGCAGGCGTCTCTGCATCATCAATCTTGAAGATCCAATCAGAATGAAACTTTTTGTATAAAAATCAACATATAATCAAACTAGCAAGACTTATCAACATATAAATGGAAAACACTATCATAAGAACAAACTGTAAATGAAGTAAAGGACATACTAAAACCAGCCACAATATGAAAGGTACAAACCTTCTGAGGCTGCTTTGCGGGCAATATTCGCCTTCATAAGGTCTGCTGCTTCCTCAGCGGCCTCAATTCCAGCTGCACCGGTGCAGTAACTGTTCCGAATTGTTTGCTTACAACACTTGTATCCCCATTGGTGACCCTTCCACCATGATCCCCAAACACTTGTGTGGTTATTGATGTAAACATCCTCTTCATACTTGCTTTTGGGAAGGGAAGTCTCCTTCAAAAGAAAACCAGAAAAGAAAAAAAAATGTTAAATTTGCATTCAAAACGCTACATATAAAAGTTTAAAAGAAAATATCTGGATTATCATTTATATTTTGAAGATGAACAACTTGGGTGGAAGACAATTAGGTAGATCAATTAATCTAATAAATTCACAAAATACTTAGTTTAGCAAACAACATTTATGCTACTTTGCATAGCATTAAAAGAAAGAACAGAACAATCTACACCAGACCAAAAGACTTTAAAATTTATAACTTTACTTCAGCACCATGGATGCTGCTCTAACAAAACAGCACCTGCTATAAATTCCTTCAAAACATTAGTCAACACGTAACCACTGACAACAAAAATAGATATCCACACATGATATTTCAGAGGCTCAAGCAATGCCACATTAAGGTGGGGTTAAATAGCTTGAAAATAATTTTGGTCCACTACCATATATCACATTCTCTTGTGGAACAGTCACATTTTGAAAAGTAATCCCAATGAAAATATTGACTAGTACCAAAATATGAGCATCGAAAGGTATATTAGAACTAGTGATTCAGAAAGAACTGGAAGATATTAAAATTGTTAATATGTGTCTTAAAAAAATTATAGATGCATAATACTAGAAGATAGAGCAGAAACTTGCAAACGCACAAACACTTGGAGGCATGCACACACACATACTCCTAAAGCAAAGCCTTTTTTTTTTTTTTTTGCATAACATAAATGGTACAAATATAAACAACGAGAGGCAAAATCCAAAAACAGAGCTGATTATTTGAAAATGAATTTAATTTCATATATACCATGCCCTTTACAACTCTGCCGGCACGATCATATTCAACTTGTTTCTCACTTTGTCCCAAAAGAAGCTCCTTGGGAAGTACTTCTTCAGTTGCAGCATTGCCATACTTCTCCATGATGGCATCTTTCATTCGTGACTTCAATTTGTCCTTAATGACCTTATAGTTTTTATACAGCAATTCTGCTTGAGATGGAGCAGCTTGCATGTGGATGTCTTGTCCTTTTTCAAATGCCTCCCATGCATGAATATTAAGCGTCTTGAACTCTAGAGCTTGCCCACTAACTCTGTATTGGTTATCTCCCTGTAACAATGGCAAGCTGTCAAATCAATTGTTTGTTACAATCACTATATTAAAGGAAAAAGTTACCAAAAAAAAAATATTCCTAGTATATTCCACAATTTCCAGAGGCACTCACTCCATAAAACTTCTCATTCAGGTCAGCATCAGGAAGAGGATCTTCACGCATGGATCGGGTTTTAGGATCATAATAAGCAGAATTGACATCAAGGTTTAAAAGATATTTAGCTGTGTCCTCCCGAATACGCAAATTTCTGAGCCAAGAGAATTTAAAATTAAAACAAGGCGTGTATTATCTTTTAGAGGAAGGTTATACACAAAATAAGATATATTTCTTACTAAGCAACATACAGACAATCAAGGAGATAGCAAACAAAATTGCAATACGTACCTGACAGTTCCAGTGCTTCCACCACCAGTTGTTCGAACACGCTTCTCAACCTTTGCAAAATCCATTTGTTTGCTTTCATCAACCTTGGCCTCATCAACCTTCAGAGCATCATTATCCTCATCATCATCACTAACCTCCCCCTCCCCGTTCTGCTTATTATTTTTCTCCTCCAACTTTTTCAGCTGCTGCTCCTTCAGGTATTTCCTTCTAGCCTCATCCCTTGCTTCGTATCTCTCAATGACACGAGCATAAGTTGCTGCATCAAAACCATTCCATCTATCCCGTTTTCCATCATAATCCAGCTCAAACATCTCTATCTTTTCATCAGGTGCAATGTGCAAATTTGTCCACTTTGCTCCCTTCTTTCTAGGCCTCTCCATGCAGGACTTAGCGCTATGTGTCATGGCCCCACAGCTGTCAATAGCAAACGATGAAAGGTAATACAAGAATCCCAACTCAACACAGTATATGATAAGAATACAGGAATTTAGAAGAGTTTTTAAAAAAAATTCATGAGCTAAAACATGAATCCTATGATCCTATCCCCAAAAAAACAAATAAATAATAAACAAACTTTTGTTTGCTGACATAATTATATGACTATACGAAACCAGACAAAAATTTGTTTGTAGGCATTCATGAATTTAACCACAGAATATCCCGAAAAAACTCATGGCACCCTCATAAATTTGAGAATTAAGTTGCATGTAAATTATTTGATCAGCTAACAAACCAGTGTTGGACATGGGTGGATATACGAATGTTGTGAGCTCATAACACCATCAGCAATCTTGTCATTCCCTATATGAAAAGCATTTTCCCATTATCAACTGTACACAAAAAATGTCTTCCCCAATGGAAAGACGTGATCATTAAACACGCATTACAATTATTGAACAAAAATATTATATTTGAGATTTAATTAGCAAGTATGATAGCAGGAAAAACAATCAGGGACCAATATTATAAGCAATGCAACGTCCATATACTTTTCACATGCTCCTTTCCGGTACTTATCCGCGTGATAAATCTTTGCACCTCTGTCATACCAGGATTTTGTATAATTCGGATCGGATTTCCATTTCCTTTGATGTTTTAAACTCTATACAGAAATAGAAAGGAAAATCCCCATAAGCATATGCAGCTTCGACATCTCAGTAAAAAAGGGTTTACAAATCTTTGAATGTTAGCTTACTGGTCTCTCAGCATTAAGATACCAAGGCGCAGATGACATATATTGAGGAATGTGAGGATTAATCTCTTTCCCATCTTCATCAACTTCAGCTGGTGCTAACCCAGCTTTACGCGCTTCCTCCAATTCAATCTGCTTCCGATGATCCTCCCTTGATTTGAAAGCCACTGCACACACCACAAAATAGAATAACAAAACTTTAGAAAACAATGAAATTGTGACATAACATTCTTACTGAAGTTTAAATTACCAAGGCAAATTTTCTTGCAACATTTATATAAAAAAAGAATTTGAATCGAAATTATTCACTCCAATATTGGAACGAAAATCCACCTTCGTGAAGCATTAATATGAACATGATGTTTTGTGCTTTAGTTTTACGCGTAAAATGCTTTTGTATACTAAGTTGTTCGGTAACTATACTCTAAAAATCACCCACATTTGTGCTAGTACATTGTGAAATTAGCAAAAAGGATCATTTTCATTCACCAATCACCAACTATTGTGCAAAGATAGATATCTGAAATACCATTCTCAATCCCATCCTACGTTTACGTACTGTCATCCTTCAGCTTTGCACCGGTGAAGCTTCACATAAAAGTTACACTACATATAAACATAAATCCTAACTTTTGATTTCTCTCATCTCATAATATCGTCTTATCATGTATCTCAAAAATCAAAAACACCCAATCCTTTTTAATTTTCAATAAATGGGGTGCTATTATATTCATGGTTAGCCAGCAGCAACCTAGACCAATCTTCATCAACAATTCACACATCCCAAAATCGAACCTTTAACAACAGAGACAAGGTACATTGGATATAGGCTATAGCAAAAGAACAAACAACAAAATAAACCCCCACCATACTTCTCAAAATTGATGCGAAACAATGAAAATTTCCTCGAATTTTAAGCTTTTTATTTCAATTCTACGTTGTATAGCGTCTAAAATTTGGCCAACAAAGAACCCAAGTCGTCATTTCAATTTAAAAGGAAGCGGCATTCGAGAAATTGGGGGCAACGAGAATTGTAAAGTCCGTAGCTTTACCTGATGCCGTAGCCATAACTGAATGCAGGAAGAGAAGCACCCAAGGAGAAAGGACCAGACTCTTCTGGAAATACAGAGGGACAACGAAAAGCGTTTTTGGGGGGGGGATATGTTACGGTGTTTTTACTCGCACCGACTTTGGTCCTTTTATGAGATGATTATTCAATCTTTCAGATTTTTTTTTTTTTGTTATGAATCTTATCTTAGAATTACTTCTCTACATTTTTTTTATTTATAGTATCCTTTGCATTATCATTTGGTTTTGCAGTATAGTTTTTATTTTATTTGACGATCTTCAAAGTTGATTTTTTATTTTTTATTTTTTTTTATTTTTTTTAATAGAAATGGTATAGCCGTCCGGCTATATTCCGTTTTTTTTTAATTTTTTTTAAAAAGAAATAGTATAGTCGCGCGTCGTTACTCGATATTTTAAAGGATTTTTCTAATTTTTTAAAAAGCAAACGTACAATACTCATATTGAACATGTATGTATGTATTTTTCATATTTTATACACATATTTCATTACAAATTTTCAATAATATACACAAAATTCACGTACACATATTATTGAATACAAATAACATATATTCAAATATTATATAGTGGCTGAACTTTTAATTTGTAATTTGCCAAAATTTCACCGAATAAAACACGTACGTATTTTACTTGTATAGCCGCACGGCTATTAAAAATTCATATCTATAAAGTAAGCCGCGGCTATTACAAATTAATGCAAATAGGAGGGTCCTTTTTTCCTTTTTCTTTTTTCTTTTTTTTATTAAATTGTATAGCCGACAGGCTATGCTTGGTTTTTTAATTTGTTTTTTAAAGAAATAGTAATCCCGATGGGCTATACTCCATTTTTTCTAATTTGTTAACAGAGATAGTATAGCCGACCGGCTATACTCAGCATTTCCTAATTTTTTATAAAAATAAATCGTATAGCCGACCGGCTATACTCAGCTTTTCCTAATTTTTTTATAAAAATCAATAGTATAGCCGATCGGCTATACACGGTGTTTATTATTATTTTTTTTTAATTAATTTTTTTTTAAATAATATAGCCAGTCGGCTATACTCGTTTTTTCTAATTTTTTTAAACGAAATAGTATAGCCGGGCGGCTATACTCGGTTATTTTCTATTATTTTTTTTTTAAATAATATAGCAGGACGGCTAGACTTTCTTTTTTCCTAATTGAAAAAATAGTATAGCTGCGTGGAGACACTGGTTTTTTCCTAATTTTTTATAAATTAAATGTCCAATACTCATATATGTACGTACCTATTTTTCATATTTATTAAACATATTTTTGACAAAATTTTCAAATATACACAAAAAATTCTCGTATTATACACATATTATTGAATACAAATAATATATATTAAAATATTATATACGGGGCCGAACTTTTAAGTTGTAATTTGACAAACTTTTGATAAATAAAACACATACTTATTTTATTCGTATAGCCGCGGCTATACCAAATTAATATCTATAAAGTATAAACTAATGCAACTAGGAGGCTCCTTTTTTCTTAAATTTTTTTTCTTTAGTAAAATAGTATAACCAACCAGCATTACTCGGTTTTTTCTAATTTTTTTTAAAAAGAAATAGTATAGCCGCGCGGCAATACTCGGTTTTTTCTCATTTTTTAAAAGAAATAGGATTACCGCGCGGCTATACTCGGTTTTTTTAAAGAAATTGTATATCCGAGTGGCTATACTCGATTTTTTAATATTTTTTAAAGAAATAGTATGGCCAGGTAGGCCGAACCAATGAAACCGGCCGAACCAAATCGTAATTACCGGTTTGGTTTTCAAACCGTTTGACTTTTTTTTGGTCAAAACCAAACCAAACCGGACCGTATATGGTTTGGTTTGGTTTGGTTTTGAGCTTTTGTAAACCGGCTTAAACCAAACCGGACCGTTTATGTGTATATTTATTTATTTTATTTTATTTTATATGTGTAATACTCTAATTAGTTAATAACTATATATGAATATTTGAATTGAGCTATATTAGTTAGTGAAATATGAAGTTTTATGACCTTTTGAGCTTTAGAACGGTTTCGTACTCTAGAAGATGATTTATGTAAGAAGTAAGTTGTGAATTTGTTGGTTATAATTGGGCTAATAATGTTGAAAAAATGCAAAAAGAAAGAGAATTGGGCTTAGGCCCAAACCGGCCGAACCAAACCGTCTTAAATTGGTTTGGATTGGTTCGGTTTCCCTTATAACTTTTATCCAAACCGAACCAAACCAAACCGTTATATTTTAATTGGTTCGGCCGTGGTTTTGACCTAAAACCGACCCAATCCGGACCGTGCCCACCCCTATGGCCAGGTGGCTATACTCAGTTTTTTCTAATTTTTTTAATGAAATTGTATTGCCGTGCTAATATACTCCTTTTAAAAAAAAAAAAAATTAATGAAATAGTATAGCCACCCGGCGATACGCTTTTTAAAACAAAATTTAAAAGAACTAGTTTAGTCGAGCTGCGATACTCAGTTTTTCTTAAATTTTTTACAAGGAAAAAGTATAGCCACGCTACGATACTCACTTTTCTTAACTTTTTAAAAGAAATAGTACCGCCACACGGCTATGCTCGGTTTTGTTTTCTATTTTTTAAAAAAGAAATAGTGCGGCTATACTCGGTTTTTTCAAATTTTTTAAAAGAAATATTATTGCCGCTCAGCTATACTCATTTTTTTAAAGAGATAGTATAGCCGAGTAGCGATACTCAATTTTTTAATATTTTTTTAAGAAATAGTATAGTCGCGCTGCTATACTCGATTATTTTCTAAGCTATACTTCATTTTTTCCTAATTTTAAAAAATCGTGTAGCCGCGCTGCTACACTCTTTTTTTCCTACCTTTTTTTAAAAATTAAACGTCCAATACTCGTATTAAACATGTACGTACGTATTTTTCATATTTATTATACATATTTTTGACGAATTCTTCAAATATACACACAAAATTCTAAGTTGAATACAAATAATATATATTAAAATATTATATACTGACCGAACTTTTAAGTTGTAATTTGACAAAATTTTGATGAATAAAACACATACGTATTTTATTCGTATAGCCACGCGGCTACACCAAATTAATATTTATAAAGTATAAACTAATGCAACTAGGAGGGTCCTTTTTTCTTGTTTTTTTTGTTGTAAAATATTATAGCCATCCAGCATTACTCAGTTTTTTCTAAATTTTTTTAAAAAAGAAATAGTATAGCCGCACGGCATTACTCGCTTTTTTTTCATTTTTTAAAATAAATAATATTGTCGCATGGCTGTACTCGATTTTTTCTAATTTTGTTTAAAAGAAATCGTCTAGCTAAGTGGCTATAGTCGGTTTTTAAATATTTTTTAAAGAAATAGTATTGCCGGTCGGCTGTACTCAATTATTTAATATTTTTTTCAGAAATAGTATAGCCGAACGGCTATACCTGGTTTATTTATTTATTTATTTATTTAACGAAATAGCATATCCGCTCGACTATACGCCTTTTTTAAAAAAGCATTAAAGAAATAGTATAGCCGGTCGGCTATACCCGGTTTATTTATTTATTTATTTTAACGAAATAGCATAGCCGCTCGGCTATACGCCTTTTAAAAAAAAACATTAATGAAATAGTATAGACGATCGGCTATACTCGTTTTTTAATTTTCTAAAGAAATAGTATAGCCGCGCGGCGATACTCAGTTTTTCTTAACTTTTTTTTT